ACCTTGAGAGTTTATTTATCATTTGTCAGACTGTAGTTTGGGCTAGAGCACTGTGTTTTAAAGTTTGAATGTATGATGGATTCTCCGTATAGATTCTTAGATGGTGGGAAAAAGGGTTCTAAGGTCACAAACTTAATAAACATATTCTGTCAATATCCCCTCAGATATTCATATTCACAGCAGACAGGAGCATATTAAATATTCTACAAACTGATTTATGAATAAGAAAGTTTAAAGTTTTGTATAAATAAAATTTCCAAACTTAGTTGAATGCTCTTATATCTAGCATATCTATTAACATTCTTTAAATTTGAATTACAAAACGCTAGTCTCTGATTCTGGTTCTATCGGTGTCACCACATTCTACTGACTGTTATTTATTTCCAGTACTTGCTTAAATGCATGATACTAAGCTGGCATTATTACTCTTTAGCCCCGAGTGTTCCCTTGAGCCCTTTGGCTTAATTCATTGGATATTTAATACCATATCCTTATAGAACTCTATAAAGTGCAAACTGAAATTGAGCACAACATGTAAGACTCAATTACTAAACAGAACCTCTGCAAATTTATCACAAATAAATCTCTAGGATTTGGAAATATATTACAACTTCAAAAAAACTAGCTGAAGAGACTTATTTGTATGACAGAACTGTAACTTTTTTAAACAGTGTTTTTTTCTAGTACCTACAATAAGCAGAACACTACACCTAAAGATTGACTGTTTGAGAGTCCAGTATAAATTTTTAAACTGCTCTTAAACTTGTAATTACATACCAATATACCTCTAAGTAGCGCTAGTTTTTGCTAATATACCAATTTATTGATTTTTGTGTAAGATTTATTTCTCATAATGCTCAAAAGTAAGATGGTCATGCAGTTTCTTCATAATCTGATTTATATTATTCTCTGTGAAGCATATTTTTCATAAATAATAAAAATATATAAAATAAATAATAAAAAATTATTTATCTGCTTCTGCCAGTCTAATAATCTCTGATTCATCTAAGCCTGAATATAAAACTCCTAAGACACTATTTAATAGACAGTTAGTGATATAGTAAAAGTATTTGTAATATACAGCTGGGCTTTATAAATGGAAAATTTAACAGCTTCTCAGTCTGATAAGTATTTGAACAACCAGTAATCTTAGATAAAATTTTTAGTCTGTTAAATTTCTGGCCTTGAAAATACTACAAGCTTGAGTCCCAAGAAAGCAATTTAAATTAGAGGAAAAACTCAGACCTGTCTCTATTTTTCCTATTACATCATAAGTTACAAAGGACTAGTTTAATGATTTCAAGGGAATTATATCAACAAGGAATTTAGTCTATGAGTTGGCTCACGTGGAAGAAATTTCAGGTAGACAAGTTCTCAGATGGAATATTTTGTGGGGTTAACTATTAGAATAATAAAAGAAAATTTCAACAAGAAAATTGATAAGCTGACCTGGTTCAATTAATTTAAATATGAAAATCTAAAATTATGGAAAGCAGTATCCAAGAAACTAACTTGTCAACAGCAGTAAAAGCAGTCACACAGTTTAAGACTAGGAAATTCAAAAAAGAGACCAAGCAAGAAAAAATATTCTAGAATCTAGGAAAACAATGTAATAGCAGCTGTATATCCCTGTGTTGCTGCCCCAGTTTTCTTTCTTCTTCCTTTATATATAAAAGAATACAAAGCTAAAACATAAATATTATGTAATATAGATCCTAGCAAATTTAATTTCTGCACTATTTATCAGGAGAAAATTAAGCAAATTATAAAGATTCCTACAAAATGTTTAACACAATTAAGCACTGTTCAGTTTTAAAATGTTCTATATTCTACAAAACTAAAAACTACAACTATTTTATGAAATGTAACTTTTTTGCATTCTGAAACACAAAAAAATATAACTATGTAATATGCTAAAATAAAAACTTTTTTCATTAAATTGTTAAAATTACAGGACCATTTCTCACTGCGTGAATTTAGATCTTATAAAGTTTTGCCTAATTTTTTAAAATGAAATGAGGATAATCATTGAGTTACATTATATCTTTTATTTTTATCTACTTGGAATAAATCTCAAAGGTTCGTCGTTCAGATTATAAGGAAAGGTGGAATGACAAGTACTGTCCATAATTTTACTATCTTTGATTCACAAAGTTCACTCAATTTTGTTAAGGACTATAGCAAGTGTATATTTTAATGCAAAATTAACATGAACAGAATAAGGCAGATGCAGGAAATAATTAACAGTAAATTTTAAACATTTCTGCCAATTATAAACACAATTATATTTTAAGCGACCAGTAAGTAGTCACTGAATACCAATTAGTGCAGGGGTTTTTAGACATGTACTAAAGCCATTACAATATCAAGTGGTACTCAGTACGCCCTTTAGAATACTCCCTTCAGGACGACAGGCAGGTGTGACTAAAGAACATGTGAGGATGGACAAGAACAACCATGGGGCATTTTATTTTGCAAATCTGAAGAAAGCAATTTTCATTGAACAAAAGGACTGCATTTGGTTTAGGAAATGTATAAAGATAGTACTGTCCTGCCCTCGTGTTATTATTATAGTTGAAGTCTTCTTCCCACAATGGCTTATTGGGCACATTACAAAATCTTCAGGGTCTTCAGAATTAAAGTGACACACATTTTTTTAAGCATGTGTGAAAATGAATCATTCTTCCTTACTCTTAATATAATATGCCTTTACAGACTTCTCCAATAATTCTAGTCATCTTGACAAAAGAAAATCACCAAGACAATACAATGATTTTACAAAGAGAAAGAATGACAGTTTCCCTTCTACTTTTCAAAAATGTTTTACAATATGATTTGAAATTGGCTTTATTCAACAGGCTGAAGGTGGAATCAATTCTTACAGAGTGACACTCTCTATAATAAAGAACACCTACACTTCTGCACAACACATCCATTGCCACACATTCACAATGTTATTGTTATTACCATTACAATCTTTTCCAGAACAATTTTCTGACGAGGAAAATATGGCTTTGTTTAGAAAAAGCTGACAGTGTCAGTAAAACAAGCAATAAAATATAAAGGGTTGAGGGTTTTGCTTTTATTCTTACTTCTGCAAGTCTGATGAAGACCCTGTTATTTCTGGCCTTCGCTAATGAGACTGGTGTTTCACCTATCAGTGGTTCACGTAGCCAACAAACATCTATTTGCCTCCACTGAGCAGCAAGTGATGCATGTGGTTCCTCGGCTCTGAATACACAGTAGCCAAAACAGATAAAGTCTCTGTCCTCACAGTGTAGACAGATTCAGACAATTAATCCCATAAGCAAATACGGAACTACATATTATCATTACAGTGAGGGAACAATACTAGGTGTCAAGAGGTTTCAAGTTGAAATTCCTCAATTTAGGCTGGGACATGAAAAATGACCAAGAATTTGCCAGATGAAGAGTCAGAAGAGGAGCGTTCCAGAGGGCATGGTTTATATGAAGGTCTTGGGTGTTATATTTCCAAATCTAAACAAAGATGTAGGCTCAAGTGCAAGAAGGAAGCAGACAGCCCCCGCTGAGACTAGAGAAGTGGTCAGAGGCCAGAGGACCAAAAAGATCTGTGAATCATGTGAGGGAATCCTGATTTTCTCCTAGGAGAAGCAGGACGTAACTGAAGCAGCGGAGTGATGTGACGTTATGTTTTAAAAGATGGTTCTGTCTACAGATTAGATTGGGGAGGTAGGGTAGGATCTCAGAGCCCAAACTCTTCAGCTGATTTTCAAATCCTTCCTTAAAATGACCTCCCCTTATTTCCATTCACACAAACAGCATCCAGCCACAGGGCACACACATGGCCGTTCAGAAACTCACTTCCCCACCTCAGTTCTTGCCTGTGCTACTGTCTTCATCCACCCTGCCCCCTGCTTTACTAGTTAAAATCTCAGCATGCTAAAGGAGACCCACCTGACTCCACCTGACTCAAAGTCAATTCCTCCGTGAAGACTATTTCACCATTCTTTGAATCCTATGGCACTCAATAGAAAAACATGGAGCAGCAGAAAGGCAATCCTGAATTTTGGCTTTAACTGCTAAGCTTCAGGGCTATTTGGTTTCCTGAGATCACTGGACATGTAACTCCTCAACCCTCAGATACACTCACCCAAGTTATGGACTAAAAACCACTGATAATGAGCTTTTTTTTTTTTTTTAACATTTTTAATTAAATGGAAAATTTTAAAGACAATTTTCCAAATACATTTTATTCTGCTGCTATAAGTCATTTTTGCACACATACCAACAAAGATTTCTAGCTAAACTTTGTTTCCATGTTTAATAATCTCCCTCTAACCATGGCAAAAAGGTATGAGTATATCTGATGAAATATATTTAACCCAGTAGACTTTAAGAAAGAAAAAAAAGCAAAGTATGAATTCAGAGAGTCAAAGAATACCTATTTTTGAAATTTATATTTTTTCCTAGAGCTGCCCTAGAGTTAGGTTATAGTTTTATCTAGAAGGAATAACTAGATTGACTCAGACACCAAGTATCTAACATCACACGTTTATTTATTGTTCACGTTGTACCTACTTCCAAAAGAAAGCGTGGTTTCCTTTAAACGAGAACTTTCAGTAACTGGCACCTGAGAACCACTTAAAGTTTGGCTCCACCTTAAAATACCCCATTACGAGGAACAAACTGACCTGACTGAATTAGAACTTATGCTCCTGCTATAATACAACCAACTAATATGGCCAGATCATCATCAGTTACATACATACTGATGTTTCTAAAAGATTATTCTGTCTAAAAAAAAAAAAAAAGTTCAATTTCAATAAACAAATACATGGGAATTTTGTAACTTCAACAACATTTGATCAGTACATGACCTTAAAAATAATTGTACTGCAACCATTTCATGAGAAATATAATCCATATTGATTCAATTACAAAGCTTTGACTAAATGAAACTTATGGGAGGAGCTGACATCTTCCTCCACTGTCCCTAGAGGCAACTCCTTATTACTCACCCTGGTCTCTTTCATGCCATGTTCGACTTCCAGCAGCTGGTGAATTCGGAGAGGGATAAAAGTCTCCTGTAGGACTCGGTTCCATATTTTCATCTATGGATATAGTTTTGGGTCTTTTGCTGTTAAAATATGACAACAATTAATGTTAATGGGAATTCTAGGGAGATGTGTAGCACCTGAAAGTTTATAATCTGAGAATACTGTTTCTGGAGAAATTTCCACAAACACAAGTAATAGTATCCCAGAAATAATGGTGAGTATTCAAGACATCCACAGGAGTAGCAAACATTTCCAGTTTTATGTATCATTTACTATAACAGAGTAGAACTGTATTTGTCTGATGAATAGGATGTTTCTTATATTTACCTTTTGAAATATATTTCCAGTAGTAAAATACTATATTTGGCAGTTAAAAAGTGAATTCTTAATGTGATATGTGTACTGATTTAAAAACTATTAAAATTGCACTTAACTCATAATTATTATCAATATTAATAATGTTCATTTGTACAGCACTTGCCATTAACAATGTAATCCTTTCATATGAATTCACAGATAAATAAGGTCCATAACCTTCCTAAACTCAATTTAATTATCTGTAAAATGGAAACAATAAAACATTGTTCAAAGGGGAATTGTAGGGAGGATTAAATGAGTTATTAAATATAAAGCTCATGCATTTAGTGGCTGGCACTTGTTAAATAGTAATTATTAGCAGTAACCCTATAATTAATAATATTAAAAATTTATAGTGCTTCTCTGATTATAAACTGTTTCATATATTCTTATTTACCTTTTCCTAAAAAAATACAGTTGTTGATTCTTTACTCTTAAGGTCAACCATGAAAATCATCATTGCCAAATTCAAACCCAATGGTATACTTCCAAAATAATACATTTTGGATTTAATAAAGAAATTTAAGAAAGAAAGAAAACATAGTTTTATCATAATAACTAAGAAAAATGAATACTTAAGAGCCATGATTAAAAAGTTATTCTATGCCACATGCCATATTGCTTGATATATGCCTTCATATACCTCCACCAATATTCTATTAAGCAGTTAGTTATGAATATGAAGATGTTTCCTTAAATTAAAAAAAAAAATTCTTATTCACACCCTTGCAGGTAAAAACTAAAAAAGGGAAATCTTCTGAATGAACTTGAAGTAGTGATAAAAAACCTAATGTCATAGGATTTCAGAGTTGTAACTGACTTTAGAAGCCACACATATAATCCAATCTCCATTTTATTAAAAGTAGGGAGACAAATTTGAAGAAAATCAACTGTCCAGAGCATGTTAATTGTAGCAGCCTGACTTCCTAGACTGTACTCTTTCAAAATCCTGGAAACATGTGCATGTCTGGGTATACTCATAGATACATTTGTGATTAAGATTTGACTTACAACTCCCAAACTATTAACATTATGTAGAAGATGGCAATTTCTATTAGTGCTAAATCACAGTGAGAATAAATAGTAGATATTTAGTTTCTTTCTAGGGTATCCAAAATTAGAATATATTTTTTAACCCCACCTTCAATCTAATTCTTTCATCTGTGAATCAACAGTAAATACAGGAAAACTTGAAATGAGGGAGAAAAGATTTTCATAAGGAAATAAAAGAGAAACGTTTTTTAAAACTTTTTTATTCTAAATGACATAGTACTGTACTTCATACTGAATGATCCCGAGGAAAGAGCAGGGTGGACAAGATACCAATCCATCATATAAAATAAAAAAATTACTATTCACATTTTAAATTTAGAAAAGTCAAAGCATTTTAAACACATTACCATATCACAGACAATTTTAATAATAAACCTAAATACTTGCTACGAAATCTTACTATAGGAAAACACAGTTTGACCATAAATGACACACAATTGAATTAGCTAATAAATGTACAAATGTGCACAGCCCCATAATTAATTCAAATGCAATTAGTTTTTGTTACTGAGAATAGCATAGGAAAATAGTTATCCAGATTTTTTTATTTTTTAAAAGTTGATATTATAAAATATATGTTTTGCTCTGGAATTCATGTAGGATCTTTTATCTGATCATGGGTATTTTTAATGCTCTGAAAGTGAGATTGGTCTTTCTGTGTTGAAGATTCAACCTCCAAAAAATCCAATAAAGCTAAAATATCTGTTTGCCTTCTCATTCACTCAGCCCTCTTCTATCATTCTACAATAAAGGAACATATGAAATTCTAGTGCACAATAACTTTCCAAGCTAATTTTCTCTCATTTAAATAGAAGATTTCCTTTTAAATTCCTGAAGGTTACAATTAGAAGGTCAAGAGAGAAAAATGAGAATGTCAGCAGAGAACTAAAAGACAAGTCACCTCACTGTAGCTCTTTCCCAACTGGTTCACCCAAATCTCAGAGCAGGTAATACTTTCACTGGTAACTAAAAGTTAACTAAATTATTCAAAGAGCATCAACTAATTGAAGAACTTGGCAAACCCGTGGCCTAGAATAAGAGCTTTTAAAGTTAAATAAATGATACATTTTATTTTTCACTTTCATTATCCCCAGTTTGGACATGGTATAGGATAAAAGTTGGGTAGATGAATCCTAAACCAGGGCAACATCATTTTTAACATCACCTTAAAAGATCATTTTTAAGATCACCTATCCTTTTTAAGTCATGTAATTTAAAGAATTACATGACTTGTGAAATCACAATACTTCATGGAAGATAAAAGTCATATTAATACATTTTCATAGTTCCCTTGTCTCCCCACCCCAAAATGATTGTTTAAAATGCTCTGAACTACAATTACACTTAACGTTCAAATTTCAAAGTAAGTTGAACCAAGAAAGACTAAAACTCTGAAAAATCAGCAAAAAAATCTTGAACTCTTTGTTTTATTTCCCCGCTGTTTACCTGCAAACCTATCTATGTGCATGTCTCCCGAGCTACCTATCTGCATACCAGACTAAGAAAACAAGCAGCTCCTCTTTCAGTTACCTGCTTGGTGGAGAAGACAAAGACCTCTGAAGGTTGACCCCCGAGTTCATGTCATGATAGTAGGGTTGGCTTGGGATTTCTCCAATTGGAAAGTTGACTCCAGTTCCCTGGGTTATGGGCGCTGAGGAATAAAACAACAAAAAGCATTGGGAATGGCATTTACTGTTGTCATCTCTATTCAGATATAATAATCTCATATTTTCCATGCCTCTGGGCAAGGATGAGAGGAATTGTCTTTACCTTAAGACTCTAGTATCAACCATCCACTGGTTAAGACTTGCAAACATCCTCACTATGCCAATGTTCAAGTGTGGAAACTCAAGGCATTAAGACGGTCATCGCTGGTTATCCCTTCCTCTACTCACACGGCCCAAGCTTCTTCATTCAGTCCTTACTCTTAGCCGCCACTACATCTGCCATCCCACTAGTCTATGGATGCACCACAGGGGACAACACATGCTGATTACTGCTCAGGACAAACAAGGCCCTTTGTACTAACTCAGCTCTTAAAAACCACATCACCGTTAAATAAATCAAATTAAAATAGTTCCATAAAAAGATTATTTTATAATAATATTAACATTAATATTAGAGTACATTGGAGGTCATATTTATAATTATTTGACATAAAAATAATTATTGTATTAGGGCAGGTATATAAGTAAAATTGACAAATATGAAATAAAAGTCAAGATTTCTTTTTCCAAAATACATATTCAGTTTCATATATGAACGGGAATTACAGTTTTACTCTATGTCTTATTTTTTAAAAAGTTTATATGCCCAACTTCATAAGTCATTTAAAATATACTCATGGAGTTTTATACTTTAAGGTATAAATCAAGAAGTCTTTTTGAGTTTGCTGATATATTGTGAACTGAGATTTTTGATGTAAGTATTGGTTGTCATACCATGGATTACAGCTTTCTAAATTTTTTAAATTGGTTTCTAAACTTCTTGAATAAATCTTTCAGGCAGCATGTTGTGTTAGAATGAGGAGAGTACTGGGAAGTAGACAGACTTTACATTTTAACTCTCTCTGCCATTTATGTGCTATAAACCTTAGTTTCCTGAACTGTAAAATGAGAATTATAATAAGCTATCACATATGACTATTTTGAGGATGAAATGAGGTAAGGAGTGATAAAAGCCTATCATGATGCCTAGTGGATAACAGATATTCAACAAGTGTGAGTTCCCTTTTCTTGCTTTCTCCCCCAAAACTCTTCCCTGGCAACCTACAGTGGTTAGCAAAGATGAAACAGTCCAAAATCCTATGAAAAGCAGTAAATAGGTACAAATGAATCTATCCACTGAAGGTCTGTTCAGTCAACAAGTTATTGTGTCCATTACTGACAGGTGCCAAATGGGACACAAAACAGTCTAAGATATAAGATAGTTTCTGTCCTTAATAAGACACATCGGGCAACAAGTTGGGTATACAAAATACTCATGAAAAACACAGAAATACAAGCACAATGCAGATTATAATGAAACTGCCAAAAGAACGACATGATCAACAAATGCTATAGGATTTCAAGGGAAGAAGAATCCGATATAAGCTTGAATGGTCCAAGAAATCTGCAGAAAGCCACAGCTGGCCCAGGGCTCTAGAGGATGAGGCAGGTACTGAGGGGAAGTAATTCTAAATAGCAGCTGCTACAAGAGCAAGGCCATGGGCAGAGCTGACATGCAAGGTGGAGACCAGCCAGGTTGGTGTCAAACGACAATGATTAAGAATAAATTCTATTTCTTCACCTGTTTTCTCCAGGCCTTCAAGATCATCAATGAAAGAAAGTTTATTCTAGCCCATCGCAACAAAACTCTAGAGCCTCTGAGATTCACCCTACAATGGAGAGTCCACTTAATCTTCCCCTCTCTCCAAACTAACCTCATGTTGAGTATAAAATTCCAAAGAGACCGTTAATTTTCAAGGAATTTTGCTTACCTAGAATTTTTAATAGACATCTGAAATGTGTTCACTATCAGTGGAACTGTATTTCAATATCAGGCAGGCCAAGACTAACAAAGTATTTTTAAAGAAAATGTGATTAGAAGCTACATGCGTTATTGCAGAGAAATAATCAAGGACTATACAATGGATAGCTCTATTAAAAATTAAATCAAAATAAATTAATACATACAAGATTAGTCTCAGCTCTAAAGATATGCAGTTTCTGCCTGTGGGTAGGTTGTACATATTACATATATGATTTGGCCTCATTTTATATAAAAAATACTACTTTTCAATGTATAACTATGCCTAATGGCTCCAGTTCTTCGGACAGTTAAAATGTAGTTGCTTGTTGTGGGTTGAGGTACACCAAAGGTTAAAAAAATGCAAGGTAAGAAATCCCACAATAACCACATGCTTTAAAGTTTATTATTAGAACCATGTTCTACGTGACTTTGGAAAGCAGAGTAGTGCTGGAAGGAGGCATTTGAGGGGCTCAGTGAAAGTAAAACAATCTGTTTGGCTTTCTATGGTAGTAATGGATACAATTCACAGAGCTGAGTTACCAACAGGAAACTTACATGTTGTATCTTATATTAACTATCTGCAATTTATTAAGCTCATGCAATATTTAGACAAAGATTTGTAGTTCCTATTTAATAAACATATGGCATGACAGTCAACACAGATTGCTTGACCATAAGCATACTATGTATAATTTATAGGAAAATGACAATTACAGATCTTTGGAAATTTTATTTTTTTTCTAAATTTTGTACCAGAAGGATTATTTCAAAATATCAAGGAAGCAACACAATTTATCTACAGATATTGTATGATCTCACTTATATGTGGAATCTAAACAAACAAAAAACAAGCTCATAGAAAGGGTTACTAGAGGTGGGTATTAGTGGGAAGGGAGAATTGGAGGAAGTTAGCAAAATGTACAAACTTCTAGTTATAAAATAAACAGATACTGGGGATGTAATGTACAAAACAATATATATATATATAAATAATATATATATATAAATTTTATATATATATAAATAATATATATATAAATTTTATATATATATATATATATATATATATAAAGCAGTTAAGAGAGTAGATCCTAAGAGTTCTCATCACAAGGAAATAAGATTTTCTCCTCTCTCTTTTTGACAGCTGCATGAGATGATAGACATTAACTAAACTTACTATGGTACTTCACAGTGTATGTCAGTCAAGGCATTATGCTATATACCTTAAAATTATACAGCGCTACATGTCAACTAAGTCTCATTAAAACTGGAGGCAGGGGTGTGTGGACAAGATGGAAAGTAAAGCTTTAGTCATGGCTCATGAAAATGAAACAAAAACATTTTGTCTACAGATTTACACACAAGCAATGTAAAATTTAGTGTACATTTTGACACTAACTGGGAGATTACAGAAATTAGATTAATAATGAACACGGCCAAATTCTAAAACAGCACAGGCACAAAATTTATCTAATGACAAAGTGTATAAGAACAGCAAGTCCTGGCAGATATGCCTATTTAAAAGCCTCAGGAAAAACTTATATCAGATGCAAAGATCATTGTTAGCACCTCTCCCAGAGAGCAGCAAGGGGCCTTAAGGCTGCAAATCATGTTTAAGAGACTGCCAATACCCTCTTAGAAATCAAGCTCAGAAGAACCTCAGATTCTAAGGGTTAGAGGCCAACCCTTAATCTATCTTATTGTTCTCCTCACTCCAAAAGCTGATCCTAAATCAACTTTTAAGATGGAGATAATATCGTTCACCAGAAAGATCACTATCCTAAAATTGAACAGCTTCATTAGCTAAAGTCAACATTCACGTTAGAGGGTCATACCAGATTAAAACCCCAGAGGACAGAAACCATTAACATACCATAAACCCTCACGAAGTCAGAATTTGTGATGTACAGCAAAAGGGTTGTGCTGAAGTTGATGTTTACTTAGCAAACCCTATTTCATAAACAATGAAGTTCAATTGTGTAAATAAGGTTATAATGTGGCTATATTAAACACTTAAGAGAATAACTTCTCAAGCATTTCAGAGACACCTATTTACATATGGGATAGAAAATGTTTGCTGAATTAATTAGCTAATGAATGAATATAGATAATTAACATACTAATTACAAATCAGTAATGTTTGTTATAACAGATAACTTAAAAATCTCTGAGATGAGAGTGTGATTTAAGAAAGAATGAATGATGTATGTTAAATTTACCTCACTTCTGAACTGTTATACAAATATATTTTTTAAGTTTCAAATTCAGATTTCTCACAGTATCAATCTGGGTTTTTATAAGTTCTCATATGGCTCTCCCATAGCATCTAACATAATGTTACCTCTAATGAGGAACTAATAATATTTTCTGACAGATAACGCTATTATCCTTATAAGAAGGACAGAAATATAAAACTGAGAAAATTAAACATTTAAACAAATAATTTCATTAAGTCTCATAACTGTAGCAGCATAGCCTCTCTGCTAAAGAGCAACACACACACACCTTCAAATACTCCCTTCCTTACACAACGCCATCAAGTGGCAGTAAGTGACTCAGGCACGTCCCTTTCCAAATTAAAAATAACCATAAAAAGTTCAAATATTGCAGTCCTTAGCACAACACATATTGATCAGGAAAAACACAGAAGTCTCATGGCCTTGGTCAATGAAGCAGACCACCAAAATCCTCTTGCCTAGCAAACATGAATCCAGTAGATACAGGGATACAGGATATGAAGTTTTGGTCACTTATACTACTCCTTAAGTCAACAGACGAAGGCCGAAGTATTTGGGGCATAATATTTATCCACTGCAGAATTATGTCAGAAAGGATGCTACTAAATTCTTAAATGTTTATTTATAGAACTCTCTGAAACACAGGCTAGGTGCACTAGTCACTTCAGAAATCTGTATTTGAGAAAATACAGTTCCAAAGACAAAGTCACCTATGGCATTGGAGACTACTTCACTGAATGCCATGCTAAAGTACTACCTATGCTTAACTCATTTTTTTTGTTGTTCTTTTTGGATCATCATAATTCTTGTTCATCACCTCTGAATTTGACCCAAGTGAAAAACACAGCTTAAACAGGGACCAGAGTGGCCCTACATCATCTGACTAAACCATTTCAAACTGTGACACTCCCTATCAAAATGTCAGGTGAAAATACAGCCATCAAAGGTACATAAATAAGCTAAATCACAGAAGAGAGCAAGTAGAAATGAGTCACTCCCTTCAGCATAATCAATGAGATAAGAACTGCCTCTTACATATATCTGTAGACACCATAATAATAACTTCAAGAGGTGATCAAGAAAACTTCCTCCTTGCTTAGTTAGCTGACCAGGTAAACTTACTCAAGAAAATTCTCATCCAGGCTGCCAAGAATGGTGTCTCAGGTGAGGTGGCCAGTGAAAACAATTTGACATTGTTTTGGATAACAATGCTTTCTATCTATATCCAACTACAATCTGCAAAGTTCATTTCTGCATCCCTCTACACTCTGCCTGTTAGTGTGTATATCCTGTGCATCTCCAAGCCCCCACCAAAATGTTAGCAAAATGAAAAAGCACTTATCTACAGGAAACTTATGTGGGTTATCATAACAACACTGAGTACATTTAATTAATCACACTTCCTTTGATATAATGACCATCTATGGTCACAGAGTGAACAGTGAGTTAAATGAATACCAACAACACAGCAAGCAGAACAAACCCCAAATTATTTTTGTACTACAAAAAGTACTGATTTAAATGCAAATATTTCAGAAAGCCAGACAAAGTAAATTCACTTGTGAAATCAAAAAGTTAGAGATTTTGAAGCTCAAATTCTCCTAATACATAGTTCTCTTCATACTGTATTTCACTTTCAAAATATAAAACATTTTAAGTCATACTGTATAATTAAATAATAAGAAAAGAGTTTACTTACTTCTGGATACCCTCACAAGTTCTGATACATTGAAGACTCCAGATTTTACAAAACTATCCTCAAGGTATCCTAAAAATAAACATCAAGAGGAAAGAGATCAACATAAGCAGGAAGCAAATCAATGATTTAACACTAGAATTCACTCAAGTGTTTCAAACCAAAGGTTAGACTAAAAACCAAGTATGCTTACAACAAAGACACGTAAAAACAAAATGCTTGTGAAATGGAAATTGGGTCTTTTAAAACAAAAGTTTGAAGTTTAGAAGTTAAATAATCTCTCAGAAAAAAATTTTAACTTTCCAAGTGTACAAGGCAATTGGTATGGTTTTATTTGCCATGGCTCATACGTAGGGAATGAAGGTTTAGGGGCCCTTGGCCAGTAGCACCTGGTAGGCTAAAGTCCAATCATTTAAAAAAAAAAAAAAGAAAGAGAAAGGAAAACCACAACCACAATTAGCACCTTGTTGGAATTACTTCAAAGATCTCTGGAAACCACTGTTCTTTAACAAATCCTTCCCTGAGTAAAGAAAAGTGAGTTGCTGTTACCAGCCCTCCCACCTTTGTTCCCTTCCTGAATCACACAAAAGCAGAACCAGTACACAGAGCAAATACTTCACACAGACCTATTTCCGCGCACCCTTAATACACCTCACACAATTTCACTGCTTTCTCACCCTGCTGCCACTCCCTGCTACTCCATTTCAAAAACAGGATCCCTTTTCTGGCAAACAGAGGTGAGGCCCAACCTCCAGGAATGCCTCCTGACCCTTCAGAGACCTCCCTGGGTCAGGAGCCAGAGTAAGTCAAACAGGCTCTCTGGCTGGCCTAGCTCTGCCCAGGACTGGAGATGGGACTCTCACTGACTGTCCTGTCCCCAGGTTCCAACCAACGAGAAGAAAGTTTAATGGTGCTAAGGAGGGGGAGGACAACTCAAGTAGAAGGAATATGGCTACTCTCCACTGCCCCAGGGAGAGAACAAGTGTGAAAATCCTCAGTATTCAAATGCTTCCAGGAAAAAACTAAACTCCAAGAAATGGCAATTTGATCCAATGCTGCAGAACACTTCAGGGCTGACTGAGAGGTTGGATTTAGTGTAGGAAAGACAGCATGGTGGTTTAGCAACATGGTAACACTCACGTCAAAGAACTGGGGTTTGACTCCTGACTACACTTTGCCACCATGGCATCCTGGAATAATTAATCATAATAATTAATAATGAACTTACAGAAATTAATAATAATAATTATCCTGGAACATTATACTCTTTGTGCCTCAGAGTTTTCATTTATATATTAAAGATAATATCAAAAATTAGCTATCTTACAGAGTTATGAATAAGTGAGATAAAAATATAAAATGCAGAGTAGGCACAGATTAAACATCACCAATAAATTAGGACTGGTTCATGGAGGCAACAATCATGCACACACTGAATTCCAGTCTCAAGATAACTATAAATAATCATTTAGAAACTTTACCAGAATGAGAGTTACCACCCTACTTTTTAACCACACATAGCATGAAAAGACAGAAAATCATTTAATTAGTACATATACTTCACTGTTGGTAATAAACAGAGGAGCTGTGCATGTCTGAAGGCTGTCTGAACACTGTTTTATATCCATCCATTCACCTTCTTTAGAAAAAGAATAAAAGAATGAGAAGAAATTATGAGATCTCAGCTGGTGATAAAACTCAGGTCTCATATTAAATCATTACTTTAAAAAAGACATACATTTTTAAGAGGATAAGAACTAAATGTCCCCACTTAAAGCAGCTCTATTTTAAGAAACGCCTACTTCTTGAGCAATTAATTTTCTGTCAGGTTGAATTCATTTCAGTGATTACTGAGAAACTTTCAGATGGATACCATTGTACAAAGTGCTAGAAGCCATTGAGACAAAAAAGGACATCAACTCCCACTCTGAAGTTGGAGACAAAGACAATTTAATTTCCTGATAGGTTATCATTATTGTTTTTGTTGTTCTAAAGTATAGTAGCTTACACTGTACTTTATGTATAGCAAACATTTTATATATGACAAATACATTAAACAGAGAGACTTTACCTATCATGATGACAGCTCGTGTGCTTCTCCAATCATACAAGGTTATTTGTCTTGACCCATTTGCACTCTCTAAAGACCCACCCGCATGTCATTCTCTGATCAGAAGGCCCTCTATCCACACTCAACTCTCAGCCTTCCATGTCCTGCTCAACCACCATCCACTCCATAATCTGCGTCTCCACCTTCCTCTCCCAACCCCTGTGCCAGCTAAAAAAGATCTCTTTTACTATATTCACACAGCACCTGGTTTGTACTTACTTTACATCACTTTGTACATTTAAGTTTTCTAAGATAACTGTTTTCAAGTCTTGTGTTTTTTCTTATTTGGGGGAGTGACTGGGTTCTGTTCCTCTGTTTCTCCCCTCACAACCAAGTCAGAGCCCACATATACACTAACCAGTAAACACTTGCAGGAAAAAACTGTAAAATTCAACTTCTTGAAATATGGTCACAAATGCATACCTTAATAATTTTATAACAATGAAGATAAAGATAGCTTAAGACTGAAGGATAACTTTACTGATTCTTATTATTCCCTGGAATTTGTTTGCCTAGGAGTTTATTTAAGTTATTGGGCAGAATGGGAAAGTGTAATGATTACAGATTATATCTCTAACTTGCTGTGTAACTAATGTACAACTTTAGGCATTTAATACAAAACAACTACCAAGGCACTAGGAGTGTTCAAACAGTTCACAAAATATTTACAAGTTGACAAATAGGTGAATAAATAGTAAATATTTCAATTTATTTATATAAATTATACCATATGTACTCTGATGCTGGGAAAGATTGAGGTCAGGAGAAGAAAGGAGTGACAGATTATGAGATGGTTGGATGGCATCACTGACTCAATGGACATGAATTTGAGCAAACTCCGGGAGATAGTGAAGGACAGGGAAGCCTGGGGTGCTGCAATCTACGGGGTTGCAAGGAGGCAGATATGACTTAGTGACTGAACAATGCAGGCTAACATTTCAATATATAGATATTATCTCAAGTTCATTTCCTTATTACTCCAGAGTAGTCAGGACTCTATTTGCTTCTTAGTCATGCTCTAGTCATATTCATTAAGATGGAATGATGTGTGGTCCATTAGGAACCAAATTCTAAGGTAGCAAATAGCCACCTCAAGGTAATCCTACCACGAGGAAGAGAGCAAGACAGTCACACACACACAAACACAATGACTATCACGTGGAAAAGGGAAGGCAATTCAGAATGTTGCAGGATGCTTCTCCACTCCCTATCCCCAATTCCCCAAGTTCTAAGGAATTTGGATCTACAAGGAAAACAAAGAGCTATTTTACTAAAATGGTGAAAGGCATTAGAAGTATGTCCAAACTGCTTTGGCACCCACAAGCAAAAATGCAACATCATAGGTCCCACTGGGCTCCACTCCTGCATGGGGCATAGCAAGGTAACAATGACACAACGACCTTATGCCAGCCAGGGAAGGGGGTTGGTGGGAATCAGCCAACTGGAAGCCTGGGAGAGACACCTAAAGCAGACAGCTGCCCCCTTCATGCATCTCTGCATGCAGCACAGCCTTTACAGTGGACAGGCATTACGCAAGATGAGGTCGCCTAAAGAAAAGAAACAGTGGATGACACGGTCCTTGGACAGCTAATTGTGCTTGCTCACAAGCATACAAGAGATAGAACTGAAGGACTCTGGCAAAATAACTGGAGAGGATCACGCAGGGGGTCATGAGCCCTGCTATACACTATAGAAGGTAAGACTCAGCAAAATGCAGGTTCTTGCTGTTAACACAACCCCATCTGTAACCTCCAGGCTGTCGGGGCCTTCTAAAAACATGGTTTGCATGTGTTATATAGACCACTGTGAATCTAGAATAGCTGACACAAAGGCCAAAGATCTTAAAGCAATTTGGAGACATTCAGTTAGCAAACTCCCTTTATCTACCAAAGGAAATATGAGCATCTCTGCGACAGAGCAGCTGTTTAATGGTTAGAGAGCAATATTACACAACAGCTTATGCCAGGAAGCAAAGAACAACTTAGCATTTATGTGATGCTGTATTTACACTACATGTATGCTTTTTAAAAAATAAAACTGAGTAGGAAATAAAGACCTTTGCAAACTGAAAATTCTCAAAGGCAATATCAAATTATATTATTTTACACTTTTTATTTTTCTCTAACAAAAGCAACAATAAATCACTACTCAGAAGTTAATATAGTGTTTAACCTCTTTTACAAACAATAACAGAGTGACACAATGGCATATCTAACTGCTAATATCTCAAATTATAATCAGCACCATTTAAATGTTAAACAACATTTACACAGAAAATCCAAAGGAAGACTGATAATGGCTCATTTTTATAGTCTACTGTGTTCTATTCTTGAAATTAAAAAAGAAAAATCCCACAGAAAGCAGTTATTAAATTCATGAAAGCTGTCTTCGAGTATTTGAAGGACTGTTAATGTAGATGGTGGATTAGACTTATTCTGCATAGTCCAGGAACTGTTTTTTTGGCTCAGTAAACAGATTTGTCACCCAATAAGAAAAGTCCTAGAAAGCAATGTGAAACCTTGCAAAGGTAATAATAACCAAGACACACCAAGCTACGAAAATCTTAGAAAGCATGAGTTCATGCCAGGTTTGCAGTTATCCTCAAGCTGTTACCATTTTACAGATGAGGAAACCTGTATCTACAAACATATGGGGTTTCCCAGTGGATATCAAGACCCCTCCCCCCACTACTGCATTTAAGAATTCTCATTATGGATAGGAAATTGGATAAGAGTGTCTCAAAAGCCCACTGAAATGCTTAGATTCCACTTTTTCTTACATGGCTGTTTTCCTGTTAGTTTCCTTGAGTTGTTCATTTGGAAAAAGAAGAGGACACTGGATATCTCACAGGTAGGCTCCAGCTGTGGGATTCCAATTGTTCACTTCCTTCAACCAAGTGTAAAGATGCCTAAATCCTTTTGCTAACGGCTGCAAAGGGCAAGAACACTAGATTATTTCATAC